CCTACATTACACCTTTATGCAGTCTGTGTAGTAGAAAGCTGCAGCTGCCAGGACGAAAGAAGAAACGACCTTACTACACCCGCCCCATTTGCTGAAACTCCCGTGTCGACCCGTCACAGATATCGAGTGAATCGTCAAACTGAAGAGCTATACCTAAATGTGTCAGGCACACTCCCAGCGCTTGGACAACCTGGTGAAGAACATCTTGCCGTTTGCACAGCACCTGTGCCCGTGCTACAAGCATCTAGGTGATCCTTCTTCAGGAATGCTCAGTACCGGCATACCCTTATAGTCCCTGTGCGATTTACTATGTGCCCCAAAAACTCTATTCTGGTGGTCAAGTCCCTCTTCTTACGGGTTGGACAATTCAGGCTTCTGAAACAGCTGCCGCTCCGTGCTTGTAAACCGGGGGCTTGGTGCGCTCTGGTTTGCTGCGACTTGGTTCCGGTTGTGAATGCGGCCTGAACAAGCCTGGTTTGAGATCGCCTGTGCCAGCGGACATGACAGAAGGCACTTTAATGCAAATGTAGGTCGACAGGGGAGGAGTGCTAAACAGACTTAGGCACAAAAAAGGAGGATAGTTCCTTTCAGGTGCAAGAGCCTCTTCTGAGCGGATATTCCACAAACCCTTGGGCGTGAGATACGGTCGTTTCTTTGCTTCTATTGCGCCCCGAAAATCGTGGCGTCATCGGACTCTCTTGATAGCTTACACAGCAACTAAGTAGGGTCTCTAGACGAGGATGTATAAATCTAGTCTATGAAGGCTTCCATCACATAGGCACGGAGCTCTACACCCCCACCCAAACCCTAAACCTAAACCCTGAATTCTAAACCCTAAACCCTGAACCATATACCCTAAACCCAACCACCTGAATCCAAAAGCCTGAATCCTTAAGACGCGACAGGATCCTGCGTGGAATCCTTAGTATGGGACCCCTTGGGTTTAGGGTTCGAGGGGCTTTAGGGTTCAGGGCCCTTTGGGTTTAAGCTTTGGGGTTTAAGGGGCTTTAGGCCTTGGGTCCAGGACACCTTGGGGCATGAGTTTGTACCTCAGGCGTCTTGGCGCTGTGCCGCACGTCTTTCTCTTCTGCAGCTCTCATCGTCGCCGCAGCCTCAGGCTAAGCTGTGCATGCCAAACCCATGGGTTAGCACAGAGCTATAGGGTTTAGGGTTTAGGGTTTGGGGTGGGGTTTAGGAGTTAGGGCTCGTCACCCAGTATCATCAGTTGAGAAAGCAATGGGAAGAGTAGTCGGAATGGAACACAACGGCGAAAACACTACATGGAATGCACCAAACCCATGGCCCACAACCCCTAAAGCATACCAAAAATCCCTCAGCCCCAAATCCCTAACCTTCAATCCTACAGCGCTGAACCCCTAAACCCTAAACCCTTAACATGTGACTGCCAGCTTCCATCTGGTTCATGCCCGAGAATGGTGAACATCCCAGGTGCCGTCGCCGACGCTATTTGCAAGGTGTGGAAGAGCCAGGAAGCCAAAAAAGCAGGAGGAGGTTTGGGTTTTGTCGCGTGCTCCGGGTTTCGGTTTTGGGTCTTGTTACTGATTTGGGCTTAAACTGCTACATGCAACCGGCCTAGTTTATCCTAGGGTCTCATCATACTAAAAGGCAAACCTCGTGCAAACTCTCTGGGCTTGAGGCACCTTTTCAGTCAGTGAGATGTTATGATTTATGATGATACCGTTGCTGATCCCATTGCAGAGGCCTCAGCGTATGAACAGTCGCGCAAGACCTTGTTTGCCCTATAATGCCCTGTGATCACAGGTAGGTAGGAGGGGTTTAGCAAACGAGGTGTTTGTAGGGACTTAGAGTTCAGGGGAGTCATGTAGGCGTAGGACCATGTTCTTCGGGGATCCCACGCCCAACTCTCGTACATTCCCGACATGTCCTCCATTATCCACTTTTTGGGCCTGAATAAATGGATCCACTCTTGCTTCGGGGTCCCTAAGATGTTCATAGTGCAGGCACCCACGAAGCCCCTAGGCAGTCTACTTCTTCAGGCTCCCACCTTAAGCCCAGAACCCTCTAAGCCTTAGCCCTGCACCCCAAACGCATGCCCGCGGCGCTATGACCAACTCCAGGCTTGGTCCTTGCAGGAAATGCGCCAAAGAGACCAAACAGTCCTTCAACTAGGCTTTAGGGAGTTGCATTTCGGGCGTATTTAGGGATCCGATACGGACATCTGAAAGAACGGTGTAACAGAAAATGCAGAAGCAATTTATACATGTTCCATACAGGCGGTAACTGCCCGCGTTCGGGTCTTTATTTGGAGCCCCTCCACCCTAAACCCTAAACCCCTGGACCCTTAACCCTAAACTCGCAAACCCCCAAACCCCTAAACCCTAAACCCTAAACCCCTAAACCCCTAAACCCTTAACACTTAGCCTGGAAAGATAGGGCCTGGTGCTTGAAAGCTCCTGCGGTTCTCAACAAACCAAGAATCCCCAATGGCCCTTACATATTCATAGTATAGAATAGGTTTAGGGTTCTAGGGTTTAGGGTTTGGAATAGGTTTAGGGTTCTAGCGTTTAGGGTTTAGAATATACCACAAACCATCTTCTAATTATTAAGGCCCCTGTTTCAGAGCCATGGACAGCTTTGCCGAGCCCTGGATTCCCGGAAGAGAGCGAGACAACACCAGATCGGAGCAATTTGCGAAGGCTGGGTTTTGGGTTTTGGGTTTAGGATTCAACAGGCTTGAGGTGTTCGATTCCTTTCTGCGATGTTGAGTTGGAGGGTTTCAGGAGGTTTAGGACGATGCATAAGGTTTTCCTCACCGGGGGTGTTAAGACTAGGAGGGATTGACTCGCTAAGCAACTTTCTGAGGGTGTGGAGTGTGGAGTTTAGGGTTGAAAGTTTATGTGGCTCCTAAGTTAAGGAGAGCAGTTTAGATGTCCAGGAAAGAAGACGCCCCAAGCACCAAACCCCACATCCTGCTCGTAAATGCCGAAACTATGGATCTTCAAAACTTTTATCCCCAGAAGACCCGAAACGCCAAGGCTGATTCCCAAAAACCCTGCACCCGGCGTTAAGGGTTCAGGGGCTTAGGATTGCTGACTCTGTCTTGGGGGTTTTCCGCCGTGCTTCTTTCACAGCGGAGCATTCCCTTGCGCCAAAAAAGCCTGAAACCGCAAGGGTTCAGGGTCGGCTGTGGGGGTTGACGGTAGAGGGCCGGGGTTCATGGGCTTAGTGTCTTTAGATAGATGCCATAGGATTCCAGAATTTTTTTGCAAGCTCCAAAACCCCTGAACCGTGACAGGTGCTGCAGTGCGTGGCATTGACGAGCCTCGTTACCTTTGCAGCTCAACTCCCCGTGCTGATCGCACCCGAGCTCGCAGAAGGTCACTTGGAAGCTCATGGGTAGCTCAGACTGGTTCCCTGTTAGGGCCATATTAAAACTGATCATTTTTTAATCCTTATTAGGGTTTCATTATGACAAAAATGTAAAATTGTATCCAACAAGGACCCAGACAACTTTAGCTGAGGTCGTGGGCGGTTCTCTGACGATAGCTACCTGCTACCTACACAAAATTATAGACTTGGTACCACCTGGTACGCATTATCCTTGCCGTAGCTGCTAGGTTGGTAGCAGAAGGGGCTCCAAAAACCCTACACAAGAGTGGGTTTTGCGCCCTTGGTTACAAGCCGAAACGTCGATAATAACAGGCATTCGGTATTCGGATCCTCAGGTACGGCTTAGCGATGGCAGGGCTTGGAAATGAGGTAGTTTAAGCTTGCGTAGGTCTTATAAGGGCTGGTAGGGTTTAGGGTGAAGGGCAGATAAACCCTAAACCCTAAACTGTGGGTTTAGAGTTGTTATGCGTCGTTTATCTATGCCAGATTTACGGCGCACAGGCGTGAGGTCTTTTTAGGTGTCCCCGCGCTTCGGCTTTGTCCCACCGTCCAACAACCAAGCCATGCTTACCAAATAGCAGGATAATATGGCGCCCCAAACTACACGGTATATCCCATAACTTATGGGAATGAATATATATATATATATGTACATATATGTACATATACATATACATACACATATACATACACATACACATACACATACACATACACATACATATATATATATAGCACCCATACGTAATCCTGCATTGGAAAATCACCCAGAGCTTTCTAGAGATGCTTTTGGGTTTGGGGGACTGTTTACATTCATGCGTTCACCGCTTAGGGTTTAGGGTTTAGGGTGCTTAGTGGAGGTAGAGCTGTAAGGAAAGTGAACTACCCATAGGCCCCTAAGTAGCTCCGTTTTGGGAATACCTTATAGTATTATAGGATTCTAAATACAAACGATAAAAAGGAACTACTTAGGGGCCTATGGGTAGTCATAGTCACTGACGCCGAGACGGGTGCTCGTTCAAGCAGAAACAGCTCCCCTGCACCCTAGACCCTACACCCCTAAACCCTAACCCTAAACTCCTAAACCCTGAACTCCTAAACCCTAAACCCTAAGCTCCTAAATCCAAAAACCCTAAACCGCTAAACCCTAAACCCTAGCTCCTAAACTCTAAACTCCTCAACTCCTAACCCTAAGCCCGAAACTCCTAGACACAACGCCTCAATCGCAAACCCTGAACTCCCCAACCCCGAGCCCGAAGCCCGAAACCCCAGGACTCTCTACGTTTCTTAGTAGGGAAATGGGTTTAGGGTTTAGGGTTTGGGAAATTGGGTTGTAGGGACTACTAGAAGGCTTCGGGGTTTAGGATTATAGGGACTAGGAGTAGGGACTTTAAAAAAGGACTTTCATAGGGAGTCGTGTTTTCCCCTTCTCCCTCCCAAGACTCCCTGATTCGATTCCTAGCAAGGAATGGGGGAATGGATCCCTATGATAGTCCCTTAAGGTCCCCTTATAGTAGTCCCAAAACCCATTCCCTGCTAAGAATCCCTAAACCCTAAACCCTCAACCCTAAACCGTAGGTGCCTCTGGACCGGTGCTGTTGGCCTCCAGATCGCCTCCGGATTTCGTGATGGCCGTGCACCGAGTCGACACCCTCCTGGCTCCCTATGCGGCTTGGAGAAGCCGGTTTTAGGGTTTGAGGATTTCGGGTTTAGGATTTTAGCTGTGTCCAGGTTTCTTTAGGGTGTTGAGGGTGTCTACATACAGAGGCTTTAGGGGCTTTAAGCCGCTATAATGCACTTAGTAGCTGAGTGTATACACTTTACACTTTTTGGGATAATATTACCCACTACAAAACTGAAAGTATACACTTTTTGGGGCTTATGGACTCAGCAACTAAGTGCAAACTCAGGTCCGGCTCATCACTTTTGTTGGCAGCGCCCTCTTTGTATCAATCTACGTGATCAACTTCATCAGGTTCCTGAAGGACGCGGAGCAGGGTCTGGGGCTTAGCAGTTCTCTAAGTTAGGGTCCCTTTTTAGGTCCCCAATATAGTACGGCACCCTTATAAAAAGGACCCGAAAAGGGACCCGAATTTAGACAACTACCCATATCGCTTCCGGTCCCGAACTGTCGCAGCATACTGCTGCCCACCGAGATGCTAGAATCCTATGTCTTCCGAGCTGATCAGGACTTCGACACCTTTGCTCCTTGTCTTGACTGGGGCCATGCGTCGCGTGCACGCTGACACTTTGTAATGTGCTTGTTCGCAGCCTTAAAATTAATTACTACACCCTAAACCCTAAGCTCCTAAACCCTAAGCCCTAAGCTCCTAAACCCTAAGCTCCTAAACCCTAAACCCTAAATCGAATCTGAACAGTGTGAACCAGAACGTGTTGAAAGATGAACCCAGGCCCGGCAAGGCTACAGCCCTAAATTTGAGCGCCCGTAACTATCTGGGTAGTTCTCTGAATTAGGATCCCTTTTTAGGTCCCCAATTAAGTACGGCGCCCTTATGAAAAGGACCCTAAAGGGGACCCTACTTTTTTAGAGAACTACCCATCTACAAACCTTTACGCCCTGAACCAATGAAGCATTCAAGCCTGTTGGCATGACATGAACAAACAAGACTTTAACGGCATCCCAAACCCCAAGGATAGACCGCTGTTGAAACCCCTGTGTAAGCACTAAGTGTTAAAACCCTGTACCAGTTATATATACAGCTATCAACCCAAAGCTAAACCCCAAAACCCTAAACCCTAAACCCAAAGCCATACAACATGGGAAGCACCAGAAAACCTCCGAGACGAAGATGATGGAGCGCTTCCAACTGCCCTGCCCACGGGTGATGGCTGCCGGAGGGCTCCTCTTCATGTCAGCAGGGTCGGCCTTCTATCTCACAGGCAAGTTGGGACTTTTAGGGGTACCTTATTTGGGTTTAGGGTTTAGGATTTAGGGTATCCCGATGATCAAAACCGGCCTTCTATCTCACAGGCAAGTTGGGATGTTTAGGGGTTCAGGGGTGTAGGGTTTAGGGTGTTTAGGGTTTAGGGTCTAGGGGGTTTAGGGTTTAGGGGGTTTAGGGTTCAGGGGGTTTAGGGTTTAGGGTTTAGGGTTTAAGGATATTGTGGGACTTTCCGAAACTTAGGGGGTACCTTATTTTGGGGGGTCCTTATAGAATAAGGATCCTACTATTTGGGGTACTATTTTAGGGTCCACTATTTTCCGAAACCGCCAAGTTCGATCCCGATGATCATTACCCTCCACATGGGTAGTTCACTGTAAAGTAGGGTCCCTTTGGGGGTCCTTCTTATAAGGGTGCCGTACTACATTGGGGAACTAAGAAAGGGACCCTAGTTTAGAAAACTACCCATATGCTTTTGCAGGGCGGGTCTGATGGCACAACTTGCACCGCTAAATCCTACGCCCCTAAATCCCCAACCCGGCCTCCCTTCTTCCAAAAAGCCAAACCCAAACCAAGCCCTAGGGAATTTTTGTGTTAAGTGTTTAGAGTTTAGGGTGTAGGGTTTCGGGTAGGTAGTAAGTCGGACGACGCAGGGTGAGTTTCTTGTGTCAGGCATCCCCATTTGGATGCTGCTGGGCACGGTGCTTCTGCTGATGTTTCTGTGCCTTGCAATGACCTAATATAGAAGCCGAAACAATAACCAACATTATTCCCTAGGGTTCGTCATTATAAAAACATATTGGAACAGAGCCAGAAGCCCTAATGTAATTAATTATTAAGGCCCCTACCCCTAAACCCTAAACCCTGTTATAATTATTAAGGCCCCGAGGTTACTCATGCTCCCCTTGGCTAGTGCTTGAGGCCTTTGGGGTTTGGGGTTCTGGGGTTCAGGGTGTAGCGGTTTAGGGTTTAGGAGTTTAGGAGTTTAGGGTTTAGGAGTTTAGGGTTTAGGAGTTTAGGACTTTAGGGTTTTGGAGTTTAGGATTTAGGAGTTTAGGTTTAGGAGGTTAAGGTTTAGGAGTTTAGGGTTTAGGAGTTTGTACGTGGGACCTTCAGGGTCTATTTGGGGATAGCCTTTTGGTGTCATTGCATGTATTCAAGAATTCAAGACCTCAAGAGTTCAAGATTTTTCCGTTTTAAAAATAGGAAGTCAACAATTTTGAATTTTCGAGTTTTGGAATTCAAAGACTTAAAATTTCAAGATTTTTCTCTTTTTAAAATAACAAAAGTTTAAGAAAGCTTTGAACTTTTGAATTCAACAAGTTTCGGTTTCCAAGGTCCACGGAAATTTGCCACTGTGTGCAAACTCGGCTTGGCATGTGTTTGTGGAGCGGCGCTTCGGCAGGCTCCGCAGCCCGCCATGAGGATCCTGTAGGCGCAAGATTTACATCCGGTCCGGATGCTGCGGCCGCAGCCTGATGGTGGGCATCACGGGGTAAACCTGGATTGGCCTCGTAGGCGCTGGCTGTTTGCCAAGGAGCCGACGAGGCTGACTGGTTAGAAGACCGCCCAAGTACACCCGAGCTGACTCTATCTGTCCATCCATCCGCTGCACCTCCGTTGGCCGCCAGGCAGAATCGAAGCCTGACTCGCCCATCGCCTCGAAGTACGCCAACTTGATGTTCTGTCGGAACTCCTCGTCCCCAATTGGGGCCGCGAACCTGTAGGATGGGCCCTCTACGCGTGACCAGTAGGTAAAGTCCTTCCCCTTCACCTTGATCCTGGATGGCCCGTCACCACCGATGCAACGCAAATCCTCTGCACACAGGTCCCTGTCCGGCGTGAGGATGTACCAGACTCCCTCCGCGAATCTCCAGATCAGCAATCTTTCGTGCCAAACCGAATCGTCTGAATAGTACACCGCCACGGTCTCACCGGGCATAAGCATCAAGGATGCCATGTCCACGTCTCCGCGGACTAGGTCCTATCTTCTCGGGAACAGCTCGGACTCGACACCAGTTAAAAATCAGCACGATGAGCCCTCCTGTGAAGCCCCCGGCCACGAATGGGAAGGCGCCTTCAGCTGCCGTCCAGGGTCGCGGGCACTCACAGTGACAAGTGCAGTTTGCGGGGACGGTGTGAGGAGGACTCAATGGAGTAGATCCGCAACTGACGTTCACCTGAATGTCCCTCGGATCGATCACAGGATAAATGCCTCCTGACCCTTTTGAACTGAGCAGGTGTCCTAGCCACGCAAGAACCAAGCCTTCCAGTCGCATGGCAGGCCTAACTTACCCCTTTTGAGACTTGAGCAATATCCACGTCATCGCACGGCACCGTTCAAGGCACTCTTCTGTATTCTTGTGCTCGCACTACCACGCGCAAGCCCGGTGTTGCAAGGTGAACGCCAGGGCCCGTGTTGTTCGGTGTTAAGCCCAGCGTTCGGGCCGCCCGCCACTACGACGTGAGTGTCGCAGTTCGCTCCGCCCGGTGTCACAGGGTGAATGCCACATATAACAGTGTTGACTGGTGTCACGGTGTCAATCCGCGCTGCCCGGTGTTACGAGGCTGATCGCCGCATGATTATGCGCCGCGCGGTGTCGCAGGGTGAGCACCGCATGAGTCCGCGCCGAATCCCACTCAACCAGGCCGTGAGTCGCAAGAGGTGCCGCAGTTCACAAAAGTTTTTGAGGATGGAAGCGTGCGATTGTTTAGGTTTGCTGTGAGTTTTTGCAACTACCGGACAATGCGATGTGCCGGGTTCGTGGCACCGTCTCGTCCGCTAAACAAACGCGCAGACTGTGGAGCGCTCCGTTCAGCTGAACATCCCCAGCCTTTTGGAGCTTGAGGCCACGGAATGGGCAATGCCGTGACTGCCAGCTTGTACAGATGAGTGGTTCCATGGTTGCCGTTCCGCGTTTCCGTGAGTGAAGACCGGATGATTGAAAAAGTGGCAGTTAGTGGGCTGCCAACGTGCAACAAGCTCTTTCAATCAGCTGTAAGTCCGCGGGGCTACCAACTCGCAACGAGGTTGCGCGAGTGTTGCTTCGAGCTTTGCTACATATGGTTGCTCCAAAACACTCAATCGGTAGACATGCATGTGGCATATATATATATACATGAGTATATATTTATATTTATATTTATATTTATATTTATATTTATATTTATATTTATATTTATAATTATATTTATATTTATATTTATATTTATATTTATATTTATAAACACATCGTTGGCACCCTCCCGTAAACGGCCCCTTTTCTCGACGGGCGTTCAGGGCTAGCAGCACTCTCGATGATCCCCCCATCTGAGAAGAGCACGCGACCCGGGCTGCGGCCGAAAAGAGTACGGGCTGGGAGGGATGCCACAGATACACCAAGTCAAAGTAGAGCAAGAACGAACAGGTGCATGCATAGCCAATATCCGATTCCAATAATCTTGTCGAGTTAGACATCCGATAGATAACAATCCCACATGCCCTAATGCTGGATACATGACCGTCACCACGTGCTTCATTGCTTACTAAGCAAGCACTATCCCTAAATAACCCCTAAAGGTCCTTGCCACTTAGGAGTTTAGGATTGTAGGAGTTTAGGGCTTAGGAGTCTAGGGTCTAGGAGTTTAGGGTTTAGGAGTTTAGGAGCTTAGGGTTTAGGAGTTTAGGGTTTCGGGTTTATGAGTTTAGGGTTTAGGAGTTTTGGGTTTAGGGTTTTCGGAGTTTAGGGTTTAGGAGTGTAGGGTTTAGGAGTTCAGGGTTTAGGAGTTTAGGGTCTAGAGTTTAGGGTTTAGGATTTTAGGGTTTAGGAGTTTAGAGTTTAGGAGTTTAGAGTTTAGGAGTTTACAGCTTAGGAGTTTGGGGTTCAGGGTTCAGGAGTTTAGGACTTAGGAGTTTTGGGCTTAGGAGTTTGGGTTTAGGAGTTTACGGTTTAGGGTTTAGGAGTTTACGAGTTTGGGGTATAGGAGTTTAGGGTGTAGGAGTTCAGGGCTTAAGGTAGGATTTGTGTTTGTGTGCTCTAATGTAGCCTACATACGACCACTCCGGCATGATGCTTTCATGTAAACTTCGCAAACCCGATATTTTCGAAACCCTAGCTAAACCCCAACTGTAAGCCCTATGAAGCCTCAGCCTCGCTACATGTTCAGGATTGCTTCAACATTTTTTGGACACTACAAGCCCTGGATGCAATCCAATGACCTGAACCACTTCTTCATGATGCTGCAGCTGGGCTCTCGTTAGGGGTTATGCTTCGGTCTGATTGTTAAATGTATGCCCAAGGGAATCTTCGTTGTATGCCCAGGGAATCTTCGTTTGGATTATATATGTTTCATTCTACGACCCCAGGGGAGTATATGGATTCTATTTGTATAAATGGGGCTGACAGGAAGAACATCGGCATGTGTGGGCACTGCCTTGCCACCGTCGGCTTCGAACTGTCGCAGACTGGGGCCGTGCCGGACGCAGATACTGTGGGAAGCTCGGTCCCCCTATCCTACTTTTCTGCCCTTTTTAGTTTGGGTATCCTTATTGAATCAGGGAAGCAGGGTGCTGTCATTGCTATTACATGGATGCTGGATGTCCGAGGACGGTCTCTTCACGAAATGCTGGAAGCATACTGGGCCTCTTTCCGTCCCTGTTCGTGGATCCTTCAGTCTTCCGGGATGGTACTCTTTACTGCGCCGTTTCTCGGTGTGATTGAAAAGTTAGAGTATCGTTTATGGCATATAGTCTGGATACATTTTCAATTTCCTGTACTGGGTTTACGGAAAACCCCTAGGTATAAAGGTCTTCAGGCTGATGAGTTGGACACCTAGGTTTCTGTTCTCATGTCTCCACTACACGATGGACATCAATCAGCTGGTGCTTGTCTCAGTTGCTGACGGACGTCTGCAATGAAAGATACAAGGGACCCTCATACAAGCACCGCAGAACGGGCTCATCCTGACAAGGACCCCTAAACCCTAAACCACCTGAGTGCGGAACACCTAGTCTTGAGAAACGCGTGTTGCGCAAGTGTGTCAGCTTCCATGGCTTTGCAGCCGTTGTAAGCTCATTTAGATGGTTAGGGCTTTCGGGTTGAGGGTTGTTAGGGTTTTAGGGTTTGGGGCTTTAGGGGTTTGTGGCTTTAAGGTTTAGGGTTTGGGCGCCTCACGAGGTCGGGATGATCAGGGAACCAGGTCTTGGCCGTTGTACAGCTCGGCTTTGTGCCCTCCTCGTCGTGATGCTGCTGCTGGTGTCTTCGTTCCTCTACATGAGCGGTGTGGCGATCCTTGTGGAGTTCGGTGCCCTGGGTTTCTTGAGCTTCCTGCTAGTTTCCACCTACTTCAGCCACCTGAAGCCCTATTTGCAGTCAGGACTGGGTTGTTCAAACCAGCCCTGCGAAACAAATTGAGACTGCCAGTTTGTTCCTGGCAGCAAGGAGAGAAGATACACTACCTGCACATCCAGAAGAATCTGTCTTTGGCGGGAGGCTGTGTCATGGTGCTTGGCGTCGCCATCTTTGAGGGAGGTCGCTCCTGATGGCAGCGTCGACGATTTTCGTGCAGAGGGCATTGGGCTTGGCGCGTTTCAGGGCGTACGGTCTAAGGTTCTACGGGTGAGCGCACCCGGCTTAAAAATTTGGGATCTCGAGCTGTGCAGCCTGTCGGGATGTCTCGCAGAGCAGCTGCGAGCCGCTAGCATGAGGCTCGCAAGGCACGTTTCGTGCAAAGCTCTCTCGGAGACTTTTGGAGGGGATGTTCAGTACGTCCGCTTCTTTGTGCCTCTTTTAGTTTTAAGTCGCTTCGACCTTGCCGGGGGATGTAGTGCTGCCTGAAGGGTGCAGTTGCAGCACAGCATCTGTCCAAAGCTAGCTCCATACAGGGGCATCGGAGACTGTTCTTTCAGTGATCTTGATCTTTCCAAGACGACGAATCCGCAAACCCCCATTCCCATCATTCGGGCCCCTATATTAGAGCAGCCTGGCTATAGCAGGGAAGCCTTGCAGAGCCGCCAAGACGACTGAAGAAGCAAAACACGCCGCGACTGGGTGGGGCAGGTTTTATTGTTCAGGGTTTAGGGCACCACAAGTGAATGTTACATGTTTTTGAAGTTACGCACAGGCAACGACTACCTTTTATGAACCGCCGAGACAGCAAGACATGTGGGTGGTCAGGCAGGCCAGGACTGTTGGTTGCAGAATCTGTCAAGAAAGTTGGAAGTGCAAGACCATGTGGCACGCTGGGCCCCAAATCCCTAGTCTAATCCCTATAAACCCTAAACCCTTAAACCCTAAACCTTAAACCCTATCTGGGACGCCATGCTACCAAGCTCTAACCACACCATCTTCGAGTCAACTTTGCCTGCTTTGGCGGCTCGCAGGAGAGTCATATCTGTGTCGGTCGCAGTCCTCACGGATGCTTGCGGTTTAGGGGTTAGTGTCTTCGCGGATGATAGATCCAGCAGTTACTAGGTACTATTCCTTGGGTGTTGTTCACGAGGTGTTGTCAAGAAGTGTAAGAGCCATGGGAAATACCGGCTGCTGCGCAAGCAGCGACGGGAAGCCCATTTATGAGGCTTTGTCAGCCGGGCCTCCAGGTGGCCGAAAGAAAGCGTTGCTGGTTGGCATCAACTATCGCAACACGGGCTCGGAGCTGCGCGGGTGTATCAACGACACGATCAACATGCAGGAGTCGCCCGTGTACTAAACCCTACTGTAAACCCGGAAAGCCCTAGTACAGCGCGGCCTCGGCATCCCAAAGCCCTAGGCTGTCTGGTACATGAGTCAAACCCTCAACCGACGGAGCCTACTTGCGTGATTAGTCCACTGTCAACAGACAGTTAATGATCAGTGACTGTGCTGTTTAGATTAGTGTTTGTTGCTGTTGCTGCTCCACGCCGTTCATTGGTGTTGTCACACACTCTTGCCTACCAGGACCCCATAAGATAGCGTAACAGCCTAGACCAGAAAGACCCGGAACCCCAACCACTCAAGTCATGAAGGTCGGGAGTTGATCCCGCCCCCATAGCTCGAGGGCCCCGCTCCCCTGACACTTGACTCAAGAACACGGACCGGTTTACTAGAAACCCCCCACGAAACCTAGGAACCCTACTCGTAACAAAAGCTTAAATAGTTGCCAATAGTATTTTGGGGGGTTCCAAAGTATAAGTATAGTATAACATACCCCAACACCCTATTCTAATTGTTAAGGCCCCTATAGTAGGCCGTAAGCCCTAAATGCCACAAAACGAAAAGCATCTATGGCTCGAAGGAGATGCTCGTGAAGCAGTATGGTTTCAAGCTCGAGGACATACGGATGATCAACGAGGACCTCGGGTTTATTGTGCTTTAGGGCTTAGGGTTTAGGGGGGCTTATATCTAGGGGGTTAAGCGTGGTTTAGGGCTTAGGGTCTAGGGGGGCTTATATCCAGGGAATCTCGGGGGCCCTTAAGACAGGTTTTTTGGGGCTGAGGGATTTCCTCTTTGGGGGTTAAGGAATCTAGGGGGTTAAGAGAGGTTTAGGGCTTAGGGATTTGGTGTTTTGGGGTTTAGAGGTTTTTTTTTGCAGCGCGGTTCGCGGTTCTGACGGCTTCGGGCTTCACGGGTTGTTGCTGGGGTATGGGATTTTGGGCTGCTGAGAGCCGGGGGCCCTATCAGTTGCTTCAGGATGACAGCAGCAGGGCTGTCGGAGTAGGAACCGCGGCAATTTCTAACGCTCTTCCTGCGCATCTCCTCCGTCGTTCCGAACGAGGGTTCCTATTGGTAAAAGTAGAGATACGATCCCACCACTTAGGGTTTTCATTGGGCTCCCCTGTTGTCTGAAAGGCCCAAGCAACGTCAACGCAGCCCTAAAACATGCAGCGGAAAAAAGTCCGGTTAAAATACCCTAAAGCCCTAATCTTTAAAACCCAAAAACCCTAAACTCTAAACCCTAAGCCCAAAACCCTGAAATCCTCAAAGCGTCCTGGGTAGTTGTGGTTAAGGGTTATAAGGGTTTAAGATTTAGGCTTTAGGGTTTAGGGTAACACTACAATGGGTTTTGTGTGTTTCCGCCTCCCGAAGCCAAACCTAGCTAGTATTTCGGGTCTGGGAGGCAAGCCCCCGAACCCTGCTCACCTCTGCCTAAAGGCAAACCTAGCATTGAATCACGTCACCGAAAACCGAGGCACTCGTTGAGGTTAGGGCTTCAGGGCTTTTGGATTTATGGTTAAGCCTTAAGCCTAAATCCTGAAGCCCTAAAGCCCCAATCTGAACTGCCCAAGAAAAGATCTCGACCCTAGGCCGTTAACCCTGAACCCCAAGGCCCTGCAGCCCCAAACCTCCCATAAGCCCCCTGAACCTCCTGAAGCCGTAGTCCTTTAAAAACCACCCTCAAAATCCCTAAACCCTCAAATCCCATAAACCCTCAACCTAAAACCTAACCCCCAATCCCTTAACCCTTGACCCTTAACCGTTAACCCTTAAAAACCCCAAACCCTGAACCCCAAACCTAAACCCTGAAACCGGAGCCAGGACCAAGAAAAGAGTAGCTGGCCTTTCAAGAAGGTTATCTTCGAGGGGATGGAGTGGCTTTACCAGGACTTACTTGAAGGGTTTAGGGCCAAACGGTTTAGGGGTTTGGGGGTTGAGGGTTTTCGGGTTTAGGGTTTAGGATTTGGGGGTTGAGGGTTTTCGGGTTGAGGGCTTCAGGTTGTAACTAGGAGTTGGGGTGGCTGGTTTGGGATTCAAGGTGTCGGGTTGGTGTCCCGTCCATATTTCCATAGCTCATATTTTCAAGGCTTCCAAGGCTTGACATTCCAGGCATGATGGCAGCTATACAGAGTCGGAACATCACTGTGCCCTAGAGAGGCCGGATGTAGGAGTGGCAGCAGGCGAGCTATCACGCCCCGAATACAACGACACTCAAACTACAGACTTAACTACCTCGACCCCCCAATTACCCTCTAATATACCCTCAATGCCCGCTATTAAGGATCACAAGGGCTCTTTTAAAGGATACTTGGGGTGTCCTGGTATACCCTTGCTTTCTACTAAAGGGCTGACAAGCTGGTTGGCACCAGGCCTCTCTTCGGTCTCCGTGTCGTTTTCTGCGTGGTTTGTATTCGTAGTAGTGTTGTTGTGTTTGAGACTTGAGTGTTGAGCTCCCGCGAGGATGCGAGAAGTGGAGATACGTTGGTTTTCCATTACAGCGGCCATGGCTCACAATATTCAGCAGATGAGAAAGCTATGCCGGCAGATTGCATCTGTCCGCTTGACCTCATCATTGACAGGAAGTGGCCAGATTCCGTCATTTTGGACACCGAGATTCATGAGAAGCTCTACGATCCTTTGCCGCCCGGTTGCAAGGCCATCTGCGTCTTCGACTGCTGCCACTCCGCAACGGTGGCAAACCTCTGTGAAACCATGGTGGTCAAGGAGGGCCCCATCACTGCAAGCAAGAAGGAGAAGTTGATCAAAGAGCACCTGGGGCTCTTCTTAAGGGGTTTGATTTAAAGTACCACAAAAAGGGATCTATTGTAAAGAATATGGTTCCTTATTATGGTAACTTAAATTAAATTCCCTAACAAGAACCCAGGCTCACCCGTCAGAAGGACAACGTCGCGGCGGAGGTGCGCTTCTACCGCGAGGTGAACTCCGGCCAGCTGGACATCAAGAAGAAGAGTCGAGAGGAGATTATTTTCAGACCTAACCTCGGAGCCCCTGCAAACCCCCTAAACCCTCAACTCTCCCTATGATACCCTAAAACCCTTAAAGCCCTAAGACCCTAAACCCTAAAACCCTTAAAGCCCTAAACCCCTTAAACCCTTAAAACCCTTAAAGCCCTAAACCCTGAGCCTTCTTCAACCCGTGAGTCGAGGAGATGATTCAGCTCCTTGAGAAGCACGCCTTCCCCAAGAGACTAGGTTCCCCAGTAGTACCAAAATTGCCCTTCTTCTCTTTAGTAGTAGGAAAAAGGGTACCCTTATAATTAAGGGGCTAAACCCTAAACCCGTAAACCCTAAACCCCGAAACCCCGAAATCCCGAAAACCTAAACCCAGGAGAGGGCCCTACGGACCCTACTCTGACGTGTCCACCTTGAATTACAACTACCTCCTCAGCACCTCCATCTCTGCTTTCTTTGAGGACGCCACGGTTTAGGGTTGAGGGTTGAGGGACTAGGGTTTAGGGTTTAGAGTTTAGGGTTGAGGGTTCGGGCTCGTTAATATGACTGTTTTAGATTGTGTAGGGTTTAAGTTCGTCTGCAGGGAACTCATGCACGGAAAGCGAAATATGGGACAATGCAATATGGGCTTCGGGCAGAGTATCTCTATCAAACATGCTGCAAACCCTACCTCAACCCGCCACAGTCTATACCGTTTCGATAGGACCCTCTCTCATGTACTACCCGAAGACCCTGGACAAATCAGGTTATCCCTCAACCCTACATCCTGACTTCGCGCTCTGCCCGGAAATGGCAGGACTCGGTGAAAGCCGCAGAGGCTCGTCTTGCAGCGAAAGAGAAGGCGCCGGCGCCCGAAACACCAAAATCCTAAAGACTTA